AGCCCAACCCATTCTGTCTAACACCCCACTGCCACCAGCTCATTAACTGTAAGGACACAGCCCAGAAACAACCTCTGCACATCCCTGCACCTGCTGAGAGCTGCAGCCTCACCGTGGTTTGAACGGGTGCCCCAGGCTGGGCCGTGGGGCCACCCCCGTGCCCCCCACTAACCTCTCTGAGCCTGGCGCTGCCTCTCAGCCAGCACCTGGGACTGCCCCAGCTCCAGCTCCGCGTCCGCGTCCTCCTCGATGCCAGCAAAGGCCTCCTGGGGACAGTGACCAGGGGTGAGGGGACACGGGGCAGAGCTGGGGGCCAGGCTGCCCCCCCCTCCCCTCCCTGCCCCTCTGGGACTCACCTTCCCGAACCACAGGCTGGTCTGGCGTTCCTCCAGCACTGATTTCTCCTCCAGGGGCACCAGCAGGGGATTCTCCTCTTCCTCCCCTTCCTCCTCCTCTTTCTCCTCCTGTTCCTTCTGCTTAAACTTCACCCTGGGACACAGAGCAGCAGGACCAGTGTCCCTCCAGGGCAGGGCGGGGTGTGCTCGCTGCTGGAGCTGCTCCAGAGGAAGCTCCTGCCCCAGGGAGGCCTCTCCCAGCTCTCACCTCTTCACCCCCTGCTCTCTCCTCTCCCGCTCCAGCCGGCGCTGTCGCTCCTCGATCTCCACCAGCTCCTCGGGGTCCAGGTCGCTGGCCAGGGACACATCATCCTCCTCCTCCCCCTCGTGATCTGAGATGTAGATGTCATCGTCCCCAGGCCCCAGCTCCAGGAGGGCATCAGCTGATGCCATGTCCCCACGGGTCACCTCGTTCAGCAGCTGTGGGGCAAGATCAGCTGATGCCATGTCCCCACGGGTCACCTCGTTCGGCAGCTGCGGGGCAAGAGAGGAGTCACCAGCTGGAGTCTGGGGGCCCTGGGGGACCCGGTGGCCTCCCCCCACCCCACGCACTGGGATCCTCTGGATGGTCCTGAGGGAGAACATGCTGGTGTCACCATCGTCGGCGATGGAGACCCCTGGGAGATCCATCTTCAGCTCCACACGCTCCCGCTGCTTCCGCTGCTCCTTCAGGAGCTTCTTCTTCTTCCTGGGGAAGGGGGCCAAGGAAGGAGGCAGCGCTGACACCCCCCTGCCAGGGGTCCCCAGCAGCCGCCTCGCCTGC